TTAGGATCTTTTTACGGACAGTTTTCTTTGCGATACTCTCGAGGTAAGAAGTGATGATGATCGAAGGTGACGTTACCTGTTCTTACGGTGAATACTTACAAGTTTACTTGTACGTGCGTTCTCGACCATTGTCCGCTTGCACAATACACGACTCGTATTATCGGAGATATCCTGCTAGGTAATTATGGCAAATCTTGATTTGCAAACGATACACTTAATAACAAGGTAAAAATAATTAAAAATCCATCTCATGGAAACTGACATAAAACAGTATAGCTTTTTTTTCTGTCAGTGTTACCTCTTTAATTGCTTATATTTTCACGGACGACAATCACGTGTATATCACTGAGAAGTTTCCGAGGAGATCAACGAGAGTATCGGTCTAGCAACTGTTACGGCTTTATGATGTAAATTTAGCAAAAAGTGACGGAAGACGTCGGAAAAAACAGGACAAACTCTGGTCGGCTGAAGTTACTAAATATCTTGTCTCGTGAACTCGCGTCTGTAGCAATCACGGTTTTCGTCATTGGCAAACAGTAACTGCATAGTTCGCGTTGTGTACACGGAAAAAAATCTAGACATTGTCTGTGCCTTCTGTTTTCATGTCAAGGTAATTAGACGTTTCATCACATTGCCGTCCTACGAGCGCGCGGCATCATCTTGAAATTGAATAATCGCTGCATTCGCCCATCTCTCCGTGAAGTACTATCTTTCTTCGGCTAATCCGGTAAGGATCCTGTAAAAGGTAGCCCGTTTTATTGCGTTGGCGTAAAACTCACTGTTTATGTGCTCGCTTTTGGTAGGAAGGATATATTATATTCGCGATATTCATTCGTCGTCGCTTATTCACAGGAATCTTCGCATATGTTAGTGCTTCTTTCTATTATAACATTATATATATATATATATATATATATATGTATATATGCGGAGCCTCACGACGACGCGACGGTTCACTTGCTTGGCGTGATTTATGCGATTATACAGGCATTCCCCCAAGCAAAATGCCTTCGTCGACACCGTACGTATATTACGGATCTAGCCGATCCAAACCGGCTTTCACCAGCGACGAATCGCCTTAATTCCACCGGTTTCTGGTGCTGGGTCAGCCAATTCATTTTCATGATCGGAATTTGCTAAGCAGATTTAATGAGCCGATAAATCGTTGACCCTTCTTTACGTCTTCTAATCTTACGCACAGCGGGGCCAAAGACCCAGAATTTTGCGTTCCTAAAAAATGTTCCGAAGAAAAGAAGCGGGACGTGCGTAGCTAGTTTTTTATAGTATTATATATTCTTAAGCGAAAATAATTAGTATATTCTTAAGCGAAAAAAATATCTTCCAATGAATTTCTGCGTAGAATATTGTGTAGAATTATGATGTTATATGTAATAAAGCTAAAACCGATTCGTAGAATTAAGAAAAATCAGATAAAGCGCATAGGGAAATATTTTTTATATCACATAAGGTTGATGTAAAATACGATTATATGTATATATATATATATATTTACTTTTAGTGAAGTTTTATTTTACTTTTTTATTTGTAAAATAACAATTTTTAACAATTGCATTAAATACTTCTCGGAAAAGGTATAACTCAGAATTAACATTGTTTCTTATTCAGTCCATTTTTTACTTACTTCGACAATTATTTCATTTTCTATAATAGCCATTGTAATCTTTACTTTGTCATTGTACAAAAATATCCATACATGCAGCGACCAATGCCTCACAACAAGAGCGTAGAAAAACGTCACGTTGATTATTTGGACGTGCGGTTGTAACGAAGCGTGTCTATCTCTTCGCCGCATAATTTTCACTTGCTATAGTGACGCAACAGAATAGGCACGCGATTCGCCACGTTTGCGGTTTAAATAAATCCACCCGCGTGCACGACGCAATTTTAATAAAATTATCTGGCACACGAATGAAAACATCTCGATGTCGATACAGCACGAGGAATAAGTTGTAATCGTTTTGCGAAAACGTTTTGATCATTTACCTTCTAAGAAAAATAATAGCAAAATAATTGCGGAATATCTGTTTTTATCATACGATTGTAATAACCTTGTGGACATTTCAATTATTTGCAGAACGTATCATTTTTTCTTCTTAGTAAATTGATTAACATTGGCGCGACCTTAGACAGGCTCAACATGCTTTTTATTCGTGAAAAAGTCGATGGTAAAATTATCACGGACGCGAGTAGCAATCGCTTTTTATCGCACGAGAGATATAGCGATTGTTCAGAGAATCGCACTCAATAATGAACCATCGAGCACGTACACGAAAAGTTAAATCGACTGTATTTCTACATTCATCTTGATATATTTTTTCTGACGTAGGTTAATGATATTTTTTTATTTTATCATAGTATTCATTATTTGATTTTTTAATTTAAACCCGCGCTAGAATAAGTATATATTCTTAAAATAAAAATATACAAGTTATACAATTGAAATATAAATTTTATTATTTTGTACAAAACTATACCATTTTTTATGACAATTTGAAGATTGAATACTTGCACGTGTCATTACATGCTCTTTCCCGATTGTGGTGAAAGATTGTTTGTCATTCGTAATTAGCATACACACCTGGCGCTTGATTAATATTTTTGTATCATTTGCGCGGATATTACACATAACGAGGCGCCACAGACTCGTTTTAAAGATTATGCAGCCTTGCCGTTCTCTCTCGAAAGGTTGCTGTTTGTCATGCTGTGTTCACCACGTTTACGGAGATTTCTTATTTGTGCAGTGGCTTCGAGAAAGTCATAAATATGCAAAAATCAGTTCTAATAACTTATTACAATATTGTCTTAATATTACAAACTCTATGTATTTTAGACATGCTATATATTAGTATATAACGCTAAAAGAATTTATTACAAAACAAAACCATGAGACAAGTGATAATCAGGTTAGCGGATTGTTTAATTTGACAAGAGATTATTTTCATGTCTCTGTTCTTTCTTCATATTATCATTGAAAAATAGTGATAATATGTAGTTGCCAAATGTTGAATGGAATCATTTCAATCAAATATTCTGTTAATGTAACAAAAAACAAATTTTACTTTTTTAAATATTTAGAAATTATGACTAAATAATTTATTATATTATTATATTTATCGTAATTTATTAAATATTTAGAAAAGTAAAATTATTTTTATCAATTATATTAATCAAATATTTAATTGAAATTATTTTACTCAATATTTGATAGCTGTTAATAGATCCTTTTTACACATTTACTTAATTGAAAAATCTAATACAATGATGGTGCTAAAGTAATTTGACAAATTAATTTTTAATCTTGTTTTTTTCCAAAAAGAAAAACATTGCCTCCTTTTATAAATTGACTTATGTTACTAAAATTAGTGCGCCCGATGAATACACCTAATACTCAAATAAATGAATAAAAAATGAATGAAAATATCCATTCGAATACACTTCTTTTTTATTCATTAATTAAAAAACAAACAAATACTTTTTCTTTCTATTTGATTGAATATTTTTTAAATATAATTAGGAACGTATTTGTTTCTGTATTCACTTTTACAGTAATACCAGATAGTAGATTAGTGACATGATATGGCATATAGCTAAATAAATTAAAAATAAAAATAATATGTTGTCTTAAATAAAATTATTCTATAAAATTAGGTATATATGTTATCTTATATGTGTTATATAATGAAAACTTATATAAAATTATATGTCATATCAATTAGATACTTTATAAATAAAAAATGTAAATATTACAAAAATAATTTTCAAAATTTCTAAGTTTACCTCTCTTATCAAATCTGAATATTACAATGACAAAAATAAATAAAATTAATGTTCTTTTACTTAAAATCATGAAGGTGCCGGTTATAATTAAGACATAACAATTGCTTGGAGCTTCCTTTATCATTTTATATTTTATTTGAATATTTTTTTGTGAACAAATATTTTAAAAAATTTTGAATAAATATATGATTACATTTTTTTAACGTGAAAATTTTGAATAAATATAATTTGTAGCCTAATTAAAAATTTTTGTATTCCTCGGACACAATAGCTAAAATTGCAATAAAATATTGTAAAATATAAGAACATTATTGGTTATTAAGTAAGATATATAATATTGTGACAAAAAATTGGTTTGGTAATGGTACGAGTATACGTATTTAAGAATAGATTGCGGCTGCATAAATCATAAATAGACATACGCGATGCGCAGAACCGAGGCGGCAATCTGATAAAGAAACAGCACAGGAAGCAATGTACGCGATCATAATATTGTTGTGAACAATGTGTGTGTGCAGTGCATAAAATCATATTAATGTGTTCGTGCATCTCTATGTATATGAATGATTTTGTGTAATTGTGTACGTCTTATTCGCGCGTCAAGAACGGTGACGAAACTCTCATTTACCTCGGACTCACGTTAATTACAACTACTCACGCAAGAACAAGTACTCACGTTTTATTGAATATATCTTTAGTATCTGAAATAGTATTTTGTAATTTCTAATTTTAACCACACACACACATACATACAATATATAATTTTTTATTTTTATACATTATATGTTATACATATAGTATAAGAACAATTTTTCGTTTCATGAAAAACGATAGATATAATTTTAATTTTACATTGATACCTCATGTGATGTAAGCGTCATCAATTATTATGCAAATAAATATCACAGATTAATCTACCGTCAATCTTCACTGACAAAAAATTACAACTTATTTTTTAATCGATTGCATTCCATCGAAATGTCATTTATATATAGAACATTTTTATTCGTGTTAAATATCAGTATATTTTACAATCGAATGTTAAAGAAAATACCATTGCTTAGTTAAACTTATTTCCTTTTGAGAGAAAAGAAATAAATTCTAATTAGTATTATTTAAAATCCTTTAAAAAATCGAAAACGTTAAAAAACACTTATAATTGTAATTTTGCATGTCTGTTATATAGGTAGCCGACACGTAAAATGGTGGCGTCGCAAAATGACGGCGGCAGAAGTATGGGCGGCGGCGGTGGTGGTGGTGATAGTGGTGGCGGCGGCGGCGGTGATGACACAGTTTACACGGTGACCGTGAGCGGGGTCGGTTACAGGAACGAGGGCTACAAGGACGACGGCACCGATGGCATACCGCCGGAGCCGCAGAAGCCGCCGCAACTTCCGGCAGCGGACGACGATACGCAGTCGCGAAAATTCAAACTGTCGCGCAGCGAAAAATGGCGTATCCTAAAGAACATCGGCACCGTCTCCATCGCTTTCATGGTGCAGTTCACTGCGTTCCAGGGCACAGCGAATTTACAATCGTCAATCAATGCCAGCGACGGCCTCGGTACCGTTTCGCTCTCGGCCATCTACGCCGCCCTGGTACTCTCGTGCATCTTCGTGCCCACTTTCCTCATCAAGAGACTCACCGTCAAATGGACTCTCTGCCTGTCGATGCTGTGCTATGCGCCGTACATCGGCTCGCAGTTCTATCCCAAATTCTACACCCTGGTACCCGCCGGCGTTCTCCTGGGTCTTGGCGCCGCGCCCATGTGGGCTGCTAAGGCCACGTATCTGACGCAAGTCGGCGGTGTCTATGCCAAGATCACCGACCAGCCAGTCGACGCTATCGTTGTACGGTTCTTCGGCTTCTTTTTCTTAGCGTGGCAGACAGCCGAGCTCTGGGGCAACCTTATCTCTTCGCTTGGTAAGTCGACAACTTCAAGTTACCATAGCTTGGAGTTGATATTTTAACACTTTGAAACACTATCCTGTATCTGAATGTACAAAACTACTACGTTCATATTCTAGAGTTATAATTTATGTATATTTAAAATTGGACTTAATTGAAGAGTGATAATGAGAAAAGCTTCTGACTAACAGCATACACAGATAAAGACATGCAGATAAAATCAGTAAATCACAAATTGCATTGATTTTATACTCAACTTATCAAGCCTTTTCTAACGTCATCATGGATTTATATACGTATGATTAATAGTTATTATCAGGGCTGATTACATTGATGCTCCGCGAAGAATTGATTTCTGAGAATAAAAATCTCCAATTCTCATTGTTAAAGTTAGAAGTGATTAACGAGCATTTTTACACAGTTACGCTAAACGTTAAACCATCATGTGTACTTTCGCAAAAGCAATTCATTCACGAGCGCATAATAAAAACATTCTACGCATCTCAATAATGCGCAATATCTTAATCCTATCGCCGTCTGTTTTTCACGCTCGTTTACCAGCAGCACACACAATATACCCGTTAATACCGCGCAAATATTCCAGTAGAATGTGTGCACAATTGTGTGTTAGCTTATCAGCTTAGACTACATTGTTTACATTAACTACATTTCTCTCTGTAGACCAGTGATGTTCAATCTTTTTTCATGAGCTTTCAGGTTAATTTCAGAGAGCCATTTTCAAAAATCTTACAGGCCGTATAATGTCTATTTCGCTTTCATAAAATAAAAAAAAATCTAATTTATATATATTTGGCTATGAGCTACAGCAGATTGCAAAAAATTCACACGATCCGCAAGTTGAGGATCACTGCTATAAACAGTTCTTGAATCAATAATACAAGCAAATTATTTTTCCCACGTTATTCTATCTAATTATATAAGTCTTAATGAGCTACAAAACTTCTCAAATCTGATTTCCAGTTGGATTACATAATTTTCAAAGTATAGAATTACTTACTTATAATTGAGATAAAAGTTTTTGACTTCTCTATGTCAGATTTTGCGCTATTTTAGCAGGTGTGCGCAGTACGCGCAACAGTAGAAATGAACGTTGCAGTCAGGCAAACGTTACAGTCAGACAGTCTGACTAAACGCTCGGCTCTTCCCCTGACACGCGTATATCCTCGCATCTTTAAACCCCGCTTCCGCTGTATACGTGAGGGACAACGTAGTCATAGTGAGGGACTTGTCGAACGAGAGAAGCCGTGAGAGCAACGGAGAGAGAATCACACGCTCGCTAAGAAGAGAAACAAGATTTATCCGGTATAAACTCGTGGCAGTCGGTTTCCGTACTACCTCGTACGCATTCCCCGATACCGCGTGTATTTGTACACACATACACATACGTGCAAAGTATCATTGTATGTCAGTCTTACGTGTGTTTCTTCGATTTCTTCGTTTGTCAAGTGCCACTCCTACGACTGATTTCGGCCTAACGCCATTTTAGAAGATCCGGTAATGCTCCAAACATTCTAATTATTAAATTGAGGCACGGAAATAACTACAAAATAGAATATATTTTAGAATTAGATTTAATTAAAATAGAATTTCAATAAGCATAAAAATGAAATTTTTAGGTAAACATCGTTAACTGAGATGTACGAGAAAAATAAAAGTAATGATAAAATGCACATTTAGACTTTCTGTTAAACATATAATTTGATTATAAATTGATATGAAAATTAAATTAATTTTTATGTGTGAAGTTATATAATCTGTGCAATTATTATACTATACTACATATAAATATAGAAGTAACTGTATTACTTAATTTATATTAATAATTCTTCTAAAGAAATGAGAAATTAATGAGCTAAAATAATATATAAAAGTCAATAAGTACGTGCAATAATAAGTAATATTAATATTTATTAAATTCGTTTATACGTTTTAATAATAATAAAATATTAATTGAAAGAGAATTTTCTACTTTAAAATATTACTTTATGTAAGTATAACGGCTACACAAACAAGTTGATCTTAAATCATCATCAGTCATTTGATGGACAGAGAAAAGTCGATGCCATTGGCGCCAGGCAACATTCGCAAATAAACAACAAAGGTCAAGATGTTTTTGAGTCCTTGTCGAGGTCGACATATGCGCAGTATTGTAGCAATGAATGACTGGTAGTGGCATGAAGGTTACAGATTGCATGGGCAGGTACTGAATAATTCTTCGAAATCGACGAGATCTTTGTGGAATGATTACATACTTGAAGATAACGAATTTCTTATACATTATGACATCGATTATGGAAGAAGTCGATTAAATATACCACGCACCGATAGCATTTATATAACACGATCAATTATCCTTAAAGATTCGGTTTATTTTTTCAAACTAAAGTCTCAATAATTTTAATTTTATAATGCGCCAAACTAATTAAATTCTTAATAATCTTCACAGTTATAAATTATAATCAATTGCATGTCTCCCTACAATCTGAATATCGGTGACCCAATTTTTTGCTACATTTGGAATCAATTTTTTATCAAGAAAATTTCGAAGAAGGCCATCACTCGTTATAATCTTTTAATATCTTAATAATCAAATTATGATATTTAAAATACAGAGGAAGTGAAATTGTAAATTTCAATGAACAGTAATATTTCACCTTGTTTTTGATCTTATCTTAAAAATTTAATTTGCAATGCTTTTTATTTAAGTTATTTAACAGAAATATTAATTAACTCTTTTAAAATAAAGTTAGAATCTGAAATTGGTCAAAGATACATTTGCGTTTTTTAATTTTAGCATGCTAATACATATTCTGCGTCTTTAACCTTCTGCCAAAACGTGTTTGATTACAAATGAGCATTTTCTACTACGCAGTCATTTCCAAAAAATACGAAACATTTTTACTTACATAACATTTGAAAAGTACTCAGAAATGGTTTGTAATATTTTAAGAGATTTGTCATTAATGTGCTGTACAGTACATTAATGAGAAATCGTTGTATATAAAATTATACACCTTGTAATCGCATAATTGGACTAAACAGTTTCCGCACATATCTTCGTGCGTGCCTGCATGATAATGACGTTAAAAAGCAGACATTTCCGACAATTGGTGACGAGGTGGGGAGAATCGTAAAACACGACGTAATATTATTAGCACTGCTCTGGTGAAAGTTCTGGTCGACGCACACTAATCAGTTAATGTAAATTTCAGTAGGTATGTCGATAGGTTTTACTTAGAGTTATCGATTAATTCCTGTCCCGGAAAGTGTTTAAACGTCCGTGTGAAATTACGAATAGCAAAATTCCTGGCACGCCGCGGCGATAGAAGATGAAAGTCGTACGTGTCAGTAGTTCCGGTCGATGATTTAACCGGCGAGAAGCGCACGACCGTTAATTTTTCTCGCAGCTACGTAATGCGTGCTGCAATTTCTGTTGAGCGATTTCTCGACACACTCAGAAAGGTTTTATCGTCACGTAGACGCGCATAGTTGGATATGTATTTGAAATATTTTTATTTTGAACCGTATTTACAATATACAAGTGTTTCTATTTTTTATTTCAGCGGAGCACATATACGTGAAAGTATTTCGTATTTTGTACTCAATATTGAAAGACTGAAAGTTTTTTATATCTTGTAATGTTGTAATTCAGATATAAGATTTATTGTCAATCTCAGTATTTGAAACACAAAATACAAAATACTTTTAATCTTTTATCATTAATACTAAAATATAAAATACAAAGTACTTTTGTGTGTATGCTTCCATGAAATACAAAATGTAAAATATTTTCTCATGTGCTCTACAGAATTTCAAAATACAAAATATAATTATCTTACAAATACAGCTGTTTTACAGATAACAATATATATTTCAAATACATGCTGTCAGCCCTGTAGACGCTTATACTTTGTTACACATTATATCACACACGCGAATAATAATACGTATGGCTGGTTGCACGTTGACGTGATTTAGCGTCGTTGCACTTCGGGGCGCGTAGCTCGACTTCTAGTCGATGTATCCAATTCAACTCGACACGTCGAATATCAACGAGATCTTTCGAGAAGACTCCTCGCAAACGAGCGCATTCGAACGCATATCGTACGCTTCCTCATTGGCGACACTCGGGTGCGCTGATCGCGTTTGCATTATAGCTGTCTAAGAATTTTTTTCTTCAGTTATTTGCGAGTATTTCTTGTCTGCGCTTCGTCGATCGGCTTAGTGATTCCTATTTATCAGCGAAATTTTCTCTTCAACAAGACCGTCGTTGAGATTAAAATAACTTTTATTTGACACAATATAAAGTCACGAATATAAGAACACAGTTGAGTTGCCACAAAAGTGGAAATTAGAGAATTGTCAAGAAAATTGAATAATTAAGTTAGAGAAGTCGGATAAAAATCAGGAAATTTTGCAAAACTTATTGGAATATTAAAATTCTTGATTTTTAAACAAGATAGAGAGAGTTTAATACACGTGCATCATGTCGAATACTATTAACATAACAATTAAAAATGCAAATAGTGTCAACACAACGTTATTATGAAATTTTATCTGAAAATCAGAGAAAAGTTATGAAATTTTAGGAATGAGGAATTTGTGACAATCCTATATAAAAGTGCATTAATGATACATTTCATTTATCGCGTGTGCGTGCAAATTTTCTCGTAGGACGACTTCGCAATCTCGGCTGTCTTAATGGCGATAATAAAGCAATCAGGACATGCTTATAGGTTGCGATGTCTATTGCATCCCTGTTAGAGGTAACCAGTTGTGATTTACATTCGACAAAGGTCTCCTCTGACTTCACGCGCCGTGAATAAAGGTACAGAATGGATCCTACCATGGGTACAACCGTGACCTCGATGTGCGTCGTCACCTCCACTGAGACGAGTCGACGCGCATAATCGATTTTTCGATCGTGAAAAGGAAAGGCGTAGCGTGCATAATGCGCTAAACCGCGAATCCGCAAAATCGATTAAGGAAGATTCCTCGGCGGTGAAACTCGCACATGAAATATTGATTTACGAAGTGTCCAGCTTCGCTTTACGCGCGCGTCTCGTTCTCTTCTCGCGACGAGACCGGTACATCAGTTTCCGGTACGGCATAAGAGGTCGACCTCTCGATTTATCGCTCGCACACACCGTGCGACTCTTCGAGTACCCGCTTCGAACCAGCATAATCGACTTGGTAATAAATTGTTACGCGTTCCTCGAGTTGTCCAAGAGAAGTACACGCAGTTGCCAGGTAGATCCTTCACGTCGATATCCTCCTATCGATTTTATTTCCCGACTCGTAATATATACGACGACTATAAAACAGCTTCCCCGTATACAAACTTGCGTCACGAGGAGAAATTCAGATCTTGAACTTTGCAGAATGGTCAAAGAAGACACTGCAATTATGCCTAACGTCATGCAGTTGATTTATTGCTAAGTAAGATCATCTATAAAAATACTGTGTAATTCTTTTTTAATGTGTAGTTCTTTTACTAATAATCGTAATTTTTATAATAATAAACAAAAGTCACATTGCTGTCAAATTTAAATAAATATTTTTTAGTTAGAAATATTTAACATTAATTGTTTTTTTCTTTTAGAAAATTAACATAAGAATAACTTCACCGATATGAAATGTATATAAAGAACAATAATTATTTTCAAGTTACTCGCATGATTTAATTAATTTTTTTAAGAGAACATTTTTAAAAAGAGAAAAAATAAGGCTCTTGATCTTCCTCGGTTGTTGTTGCGTTTTTTCTTTTTGAGTTAAATTTGAAGAAGTTTAATAGAGAAAGTATAAATTGCTCGAAACCACTCAGAGATCACTTTCAAATTACAGTATTGAGCGATGGCGGACATTCTGGTGACGATGGCAATAGCACGACCAGTAGCTGGGACAAAATCAAGTTGTGCGGTGCGGATTTCTGCGTCCTTGGCAACGGAGGCCACGAGAACCTGGAGCGACCACCGGAGTCGGAGATCTATGAAATCTCCGCGATCTACCTCACGTGCGTCATCGTCGCGGTGATCATCGTCGCTCTGTTCGTCGATCCTCTCTCCAGGTGAGTGTCGAATATATGGATACAAAAGCCGTCGCGATGTTAATCATTCGTTTTTATTGCTTGCCAATATCAAGTCGGCATCGTAATACCTCGTAACAGAATAATACATCGCACAAGCAAGGCCAGCCGTTGAAAAACGTTAAAGAGTAGTCGAGCTTAATAAACCCGGTTCTCTACTTTTTATGTGATAATTAGAGATAACGCGCCTAATGTTAATCGATCGGATTACATATTTATGCGCACAGTAGTCAACTTGCGCTTATCAATGATACAAATCTTCACGCTGCTATTGGAACACTAACGTTTAATATACAGCATCAAGATACTAATTAGTTACTTATTACCAGTTTCCGTTGAAATTAAAATATCTTATTATCATAGAAAATATTTATTTGAGTTACAAAAATGATAACTTTTATTAACATTTTTGTTAAAACAAAATACAATACCGAATTAAATGTTGTATATTTTCACTCTATCTATTTTATATTTTTAACGACTTGTATATGTCACTCTTTTAAAAAGATATATTCTTTGTAAACCATTACATTATTTTATTAAATATTTATTAAAAAAACGATTACTCGGATTACTTTTAATTTGCAAAACAATCAGCGGATTAGCGAATGTTGCTACGATATTCCCAGAAATACCTTGTTCTGTTTATATCTATTCTGATCTATGTGAATAGGATACGAAATCCGTTCGCCACAAAGAAGTTTATAATTGCGCGTTGAATCAGCAACGAAGCTTAGTTGCAGAGGTGTAAAGCATGCCGTAATTATGTGTCGCATGAAAGGTGACTTGCACGGTCTTATCAGTGCACACGATCATTAACAATGATATATTTTATCCGTGATTTTGCACTAAATTACGTAGCTCAGACTGTCATCGTCCGTACGATCGTTTTACGAATATATTCAGCGATTTCACGTAATCGCGAATTTTCATCGTCCGACCGTTCCAAGTGTAAACAAACGAACGAGAATATAACATTTTTTTTCTTCTCAATTTGATAAGAACAGAGCATTGTTTTGCGCGATGTCAATGACCGTCTGTGACCGGCAAAAGACGTATCGTTTCGTTATAAAATTAGCATATGATAATCGCAGTCGCGCGCTTCAGGTCTTGTTCAGAAGAAGTTTTGTTTCTTAGAATCACTGTATACTGTATAGAATGTAATTTGAACTTTTTCAGTCATTTTTAATTTTGCCACGCGATATATACAGTTTCCCAGGAAAAGGAAATTAATTCTTCTGATATTCACGATAAAAGAAGTTGACTCACGTTTTCTCTAGAGCTGTCTCTTTCTACAATAATCCACTCAATTATAGTAACACTCATCACGATTATCATCATGTTACTAACGTTACGCGGGTCAGATAGTTTAAGGAAATTTTTTAATCATACTTTTTAAGAGCGACCGCCTCTTTCCTAGTATTTTTCTTTTTTTTTTTTCAAAGACGATGAGCAACTAAGTTTAGCCATTTTCACGGTGCATCGTCAGCGATTACTGGTTTGCGACTACAGATCGTCAATGACTCATCATTGAAGTGTACGCGAAAATAGAGGAGCAGAAGAGCGGTTGAGCTTTTGCGGTATTACGAAACGCAGCTTGATAGACGTGATCCGCGAAATCATCAGCCCGAATTTCCTCCCCCTACCTCCTCCGTTTTGGATAGCTGTAACCAATGCTCTGCTTATGATTGCGAAATAGCGTACATCCGACAGGATGCGCCGATAGTTGCATAACGCTACACGTAGCGTGAACCGTACTTATTAAAAGTCGGTAAGTTTCTGGAGGCTCGTGTTGCGTCAACGCTATCCTTCAGCATGTTACACAGCAACACGACTGGTCTATACTGGAAAAAAATCTTATATTTTTTTACATCGATTACCGAGAATAATTAAGAGACTTTAAGACTTCTCGCTTATCAGAATTATGATTAAAAAAATATACAGGAGCGTCGGTCGACGTAAAAAGTTGATAAATTGATTGCAACAGAATGCCAACCTTGATGTTAGAATTAATAACCCTAGAGATATATTTATCATTCACCATAGTAAAACGGAAATATTATTTATAGTTAGCATTGAAAGGATTGGCTCACGGACGTGGAGGATATAATAATTCTCCTTTGGTGAATTGATGAAATAATTATTACATCCATAATTAATTACAGAAAATATAATTTAAAGTTGTTAAAAATTGCAAAATATTATCTGATAATGTTAATAATACGTCGATGTAACAGTCGCATCATCTCGTGGAACATTTTAAATATATCGCATGATGTTGAATAATACTGGATATACTGAAAAAATCTAGTAATAGCTACCGAATGTTAGGTAAAGTAGTTTCAGTCAAATGTTTAATTAATATAACTAAAAATAATTTTACTTTTCTAAATATGATATTTAGTAAATATTACTAAACAACCAACTGTTTGGTAATAATTACTAAATATTTAGGAAAGTCGATCGAATTATGATTATGCTTTATGTATATGTATTTATTTATTATATTTTATATTTTGGTTATATTATAATATATTAATCGAATATTTGATTGAAATTATTTTACTCAACATTTAATAACTGTTACCAAACTTTTTTTTAGTGTACATATCGATATTATTTACTGAGTCGTCGCTATCGTTTTATTTTTGTCCGATAGAATCGTTCTCTCGTATTCATCCTGTCGCGAGGAGATGCTCAAGGACACATGTCCGTCCGGATGTAGGCAACTCTTAATGATATGTTGCCCGCCAAATTATTATCGGACCGAAGATTAGATTGCAACTCAACGTCACAGAGTCTTAAAAAATACATACTTCTGTCAAACACTTACGACACTCCGACACACACTAACTACCCTGTTCGCAATTAATACAGTCGATCTTACTTCACTGATTGTGAGAAAGCGATGGAAATATCGTTAATATAGACGTGACATTAAAGACAATCCTGACGGCATGTGACAGCGAAGAAGAAAAAGCGTCAGCCTGCCTATAGGGGCCATAGGTCTTACGTATTTCCTGTAGACACACTCGGCCGATCTGTTATTAATGAATTGTTTTTATGGACAGTTGCGTTGAAACATGTGTTTACACTTTTCTCATCGCGCGACAAGGTTTTATTCAATGCAACGAAACCCTGTAAATCAGTCGACTCGAACTCCTCGCGCGAAAGGAACAAATACGTTGGATCATTACGTTCGTAATTACACTGAATTGATAGATGCTATCGCGCCAGATTTATTCGCGGTTGTAATTATAGTGTTACTATTCTATGACTTCCGCAATGACAGATTTTCATTATTTTTGTACATGTCGCTTTGTATAGGATTACGCGGACTACTATGATTCAATTTAGTTCTTTCGCAATTTTAATAAATATAATTTCCTTAAACGACGAGAGTAATGATCTCTTAATGTTCAAGGCGTATATTTATAATGTTTTTATTAAAATTTTTATATATTATATTTACGTTTTTATATTATATTATTTAATAAAAAATTGATTATACGCACGCGAAATATTTTTATATAAAATGTAAAAAACAATATAAATATTATACATAAATGTGTGAGCTACCAATATTACACATTCGTGATGACGCATGACGCCAATATTAATTATTCATTGAATGCAAATGATAGCTGTACAAATATTTTTACGTATCATAATTTTTACCTGAAATTTCTCATGAATATTAAAATTAATAGTTTATGATTAAGATTAGCAAAGATTCTGTCTATTTCGTAACAATCTCTGATACAATCTCTGATATTCATTTTATAAATAATTACTAAGATTTTGTACAATTTTATTATTTTCTATATTCCGATAAGAGCAGATCTTCGAGATTCTCTATCGCAGTTCTCTCTCGCCACGCTCGCTCTTTTATCGTTCTAATGATGAATCTGTCCAGAACTCTGTAACTATACATCCTTAACTGCTAGGAAAATTTACGGCCGCAAAGCCGTAATTCGTAAATTGTTTTTTCGCAAGGTCGCGCCTCCTCTGATTTACGTGTGTTAGCGCAGGTTTTTGATAACGTGAAACTCACGATGTCAACTACAAAAAAAAAACCGACGATAAAGCAACGCCCGTAGTTACAACGTCCTCGCCACATACACGGTGATTCAGAAGTGTGATACTTTTGACCACGAATACTTTCAAAGGCTTTGGCATTGGTTTCCCGCATAAAAAAGATTCTGTACAAAATCATTTATTGCAATCTTCTAATTGCTTCTGTTTCATGTTTTAATTAAGTCAGAAGAATGTTAAAGCGAAGATTATTTCAAGTTTGGAAAATGAGATTTATTATATGTTATTTTAAAATTTGATTGAACAAAAATTTGTAATTTTAAATTGCTTAACAAGCGAATAAATGAAGTCAATCTTTAGATTAATTTGTATTAATATTTACAATCGAAAAGAAGGTTTCGCAGTAACACTCTGTATTGCATTTATCGTAGTTTGCGGCGAAACGAATGTATCTAGGACGCACGACGGCACGTATCGATACAACTACCATGCTGCTCGTGTGTTCGCTCAAAATCTGTTGCCAAATAACACTTCTTCACATTATCGCTTCAGGAAAAAAACACACTTCTCTCGTGCACAAACACTACTATCACGTGTTTAAGAAAATTGTAAAAAGTGCAAAAATAATAAAATAACAAAATAGTTTATATTATTCTAATTAAGAATCCTATTACATTTAATTATATACCATATACATACATATAAAAATTAATTATTAAAAGGAAATTCGAATATTTTACATTACGTTTTATAATTCATAAGTGTTTGGTACTATTAGTCTACTCGATGCATGATCTCAATTCTGTCTCGTTAATGCGTTCTTGTATTTTTCCATTAATAATTCTTTTGAGAGACAGGCTTGTGCCGATCTCTAAATCACAGTGTCTCTTTCCGCTTCTCTCTCTCTCTCTCCAAGCATTAAAATCTCGCGATTGCCGACGTTGCGT